AGCAGGGAGCCCGATGTGGGACTCGATCCCGGGACTCCAGGATCATGACCTGAGCCGAAGGCAGCCGCTTAACCGACTGAGCCACCCAGGCGCCCCCATTTACTTTTCTTTAAGGTAGTCACCATTGATACAATATTATAATTTTGAGAAACTAAATTTAATAGACTTACTTTTACTTTTGGACAGGTTGAAGATAACTTTGTGCTAGAAAATGAGAAAGAAAAATTTGTAGAAGAATTGAGGGCTATTGTAGGTCAAGCCCAGGAGATCCTTCATGTCCACTCTGCTGCAGATAGAGCCATTGGAATTGACTCTATTATTGTGGAATCCAACAATAACCAAGTAAGAGCAGTTATGTAGCAAATAGATCTTCTCAGATATATATCAAGAACTTCTTTATTTATCTATTCATTTTTAATTCAGACAGGATCATCTGAACAAGTACAGATAAATTCTGCATCCACTCAAACCAGCAGTGAGTATTTTTCATAAAATTTACCATGTGGCTTTTGAAGCAAGACATTTGGAAACTTTAATTTACATACCTTCATTGGGAAAGATGTTAACCAATAAAGGAAATTAATGAATTGTTAATGTAGGTTTTCCCACACTTGGAAAGGCCTTTTTAGCCCAGATGTAAGAAGTAAAACCATTCTCCAGATTTACTTCGTGTTAATTTATTTCTGAGTTGTTGCATGGTATGTTACCAGAAAAGCAATCACAGTACTGATGACCTTTAAGGGCTTTACTGTTTGAAATTAATTGGTAAGTTGGTTTTTTTTAACCACTGATATGATTTGGACAGGACCTTTCTTAACTAATATCACTATGTTCTAAGTTTGCCTCATGTTTTAATATAGTCATTTATATCTTGATTTCCTTCCACTAGTGTTACACTTCTACCTGCTGTGATCACTGATAAGTTTTTGTAAATCAGATACTAGCTAAACTTCCAGGGACTAAAAATGGGGTCTTCTGTTTTCTTTTCTGATGACTTTATCTCTCCATTCTTTTCAGCTCTGGTCATGGTTATATTTAGAGTATCTGGGAGGGGGCGAAGAGCCATAGACAAATGAGGACCTGTGAAGGAATTATAACAACATGAAGAAGCAACAGGTGGTGTGGGAGTCATGAAATCAGATACCATTACCCTGAAATTTACTTTGTGTTAGGATGCCAAGGTCCTCCTCTGTTCTTTCTTGTTAGGAGGAATTTGAGCAGATTTCTGACTGATAAAGTATGGTAAAGTTTATAAAAAAGAATTACTTATTTGAATAAGTTTACAAAGTAGGAATAAAGATGTGGGGACTTTATTTTTAAGTTGTCATATAGTAAAATTGATTTCTTCCTCTTGGTGTATAGTTCTATAAATTTTAATACTCAGATTTGTGTAAGCATCATCATAATCAGGATGCAGAACAGGAGATATAGGTTTTATTGGAGAAAGTGCTTTCCATTTTTTTCCAAAATGTGCCCTGCTTCTAATTGCTATTGATACAATGTTTGTTTCATAGATTTTAAAATCCTTCCCTAACAATATCTTGTGCTTAGTTCTTTCGTGTATTTGCCAGCGTTGGGAGGTCTGGTCTTATAAATTACACATATCCTAGTGCTGTTGGAAATGGAGATACAAGACAAATTGGTATTTTAACATGGTTTCCTTAATAGGGTAAACATGTTGACAATTGCTTAGCATATTGATTTTTGCTAATTCTTTCTACAGATGAATCTGCTCCACAGTCATCCCCAGTTGGTCGGTGGCGATTCTGTATCAATCAAACAATAAGAAACCGTGAGGCTCAATCTCCTCCTTCTCTTCAGCAGTCCATGTCTACAGTTCCTGGGCTATCTCTAGTTCCTGGTAAGTGTTCATTGTCTGCCAACTTTCTCCAGACTTGGAGGAGTTACAAAATATATACCATATCTTTAATTTGTGTTCATGGGTATTTTATTCTTATGAGAATTTTCATAAGCATTATTGAAGGTGTTATTATTAGGGTATAACTTAAGCCATTTTAAAATGTAATATTTTTCAAATATAATATTTATGGAAAAAAATAAAGTTTTTATTCCTTGACAGGTTGAATTCTGTGTATTTTGAGTCTTATTTACAAGACTTATTCACACAGGTTCTTGTTTGTCCCTTGCTCCTCTTATCCCCTTTGAGTTTGGTTACTAGTCCATGCTTTGTATTTATTAATATGTGCCTAGCTATTCTTTGTTATTGTTCCAGGTCCAAGAACCACAAATAATAAGGAAATATCACAGGACACACTGCCCACTCTAGAAAGTAATCCATGCCAGCGTGTATTTTTTGCCTCCAAATCAGAACTCAAGGATGTAGTTGATGGTAAGATGTCTGAATATGCCAGTGTAGAAACTAAGCAGCCAGCTTTATTTTATCGAGTGGAAGATGACAGGCAGATGATGGCACCAGTTACTAGTAGTTCAAGTTACACTGCTACTTCAGTTCGTACAGTTCCAGTTGAATGTGAGGGACTCACCAACCAAGCAGGCATATTTCTACCTGTATATCCATGTCACCAAGCTGCCAGTCAGGCCGATGTACTTATGGTCCCTCCTGGCGAGTCAACTCAGATTGCTGGTAACTCTCTTACAACTCTGGCATTTATGTCTGATCAAAAGCCTCAATCCTTAGCAGTGCAGCAGCCAACTATGGATGCAGAGTTTATTTCCCAAGAAGGAGAAACCACAATGAACACTGAAGCAAGTTCTCCTAAGATGGTCATTCCCACTCAGACCCCTGGCCTTGAACTGACTACCCTTCTACCCACTACTTTCCTGGAATCAGATGGGGAAAGACCTCCAAAAATGGAGTTTGCAGACAACCGAATTAAAACTCTGGATGAAAAATTAAGAAACTTGCTCTACCAGGAGCATAGCATATCTAGCATCTATCCTGAGAGTCAGAAGGATACCCAAAGCATAGACTCTCCATTTTCTTCCTCTGCTGAAGATACGCTCTCATGTCCAGTGCCAGAAGTCATAGGCATCAGTCACAGTGGAATTCAAGATAGTCCTGCACAGTCCCCTAATTTTCAGCAGACAGGCTCTAAGATTCTGTCCAATGTGGCTGCAAGTCAGCCTGCTAACATATCAGTATTCAAAAGGGACCTGAATGTGATAACTTCTATACCCAGCGAATTATATTTACATGTAAGTATTATTCTTTCTAATCAATTTCTTATACTTTTAAAGAAATTCCTTCTTTTCTAAAGTTATATCCTTTGAAGTGAAATTGTCTATGCCACAGGATTCTGAGGTCACAGGTATTTAAGAAGGCCATGATTTTGGCTGCAGGTGCCCGGAATTTCTAGATAGAGATGACAGAGGTATCTTTGGTGAGAGAGCCCTCTGGTGAATTAGCTAGGAACTTGCAAGGATGTTATTTTTGTATTAGTGACAGAACAGGACTGATTTATAGATTGTTTTAGTGGATAGGAAGAACTGACTTTTAGATTTCCACTTAAAAGTGCCCATTACCAATCTCCTTTCTTAAAAGTTTATGGTTTTAGTTTAATCTTGTTTGGTGGTTTTTATTTGGAAAAAAAAACTTATTAATTTTTTAAGTTTTTATTTAAATTCTAGTTCACATCCAGTGTAATATTCGTTCAGGTGTACAATATAGTGATTCAACTCTTCCACCCAAGACCCTGTGCTCATCACAAGTGCCCTTCTTAATCCTTATCGCCTACTTAGCCCCTCCCTCCACCCACTTCTTCTCTGGTAACCATCAGTTTGTTCACTAGAGTTAAGAGTCTGATTCTTGGTTTGCCTCTTCCCCTAACCCATGTTCCTTTGTTTTGTTTCTTAAATTCCACATATGAGTGAAATCATATGGCATTTTTTTAAAGTTATGTAACATAGGAACTTAATTTCCCTTTTCTATTCCTTCAGATCACAGGAGTAATGACTATCTGGTGTTTATCCACTATTTGGTACTTATCCTTCTTAAGCTTACATGGATCTATTTACATACCTATAACTTTTTCTAAAAAATTTTATTTATTTACTTGACAGAGAGAGACACAGTGAGAGAGGGAACATAAGCAGGGGGAGTGGGAGAAGCAGGCTTCCCGCGGAGCAGGGAGCCTAATGCGGAGCTCGATCCCAGGACCCTGGGATCATGACCTGAGTCAAAGGCAGACGCTTAATGACTGAGCCACCCAGGCATCCCCTACATATCTATAACTTTTTATTTACAAAAATAGGATTGTGCTATATGCATATTGGTCTGCAAATTTATCTTGTCATTTTTACAGTATATCATAGATATATTTCTAAATCTTCACCACTGTATCTCTTTATTATTATTATACAAGTAGTATATGTGTGTATATAAAATAAAATCCATCCTACTTCCAAACCTATAGACATAGCTGGTAATGAATCTTTCCAGACATTTTAATTAACATACAAATATGTGTATAATCATACTTCTCTTTTTTAAAGATTTTATTTATTTATTTGAGAGAGAAAGAGAGCATGAGCAGGGGGAGGGGTAGAGGGACAAGCAGACTCCCGGCTGAGTGGGGAGCCCAACTTGGGGCTCGATCCCCCCCCAAGATCATGACCTGAGCTGAAGTCAGATGCTTAACCGACTGAGCTACCTAGATGCCCCAATCATACTTCTTTATTACATATTTACAAAGACATATATATGTTTATATACATCTATTTCTCTACATACATGTGCTGTTCTGCATTTTTTTCAATTATGAACATTTATCCATGGTGGTACATGTAGTTCCACCTCACGTTTTTTATTTTTTTAAAGATTTTACTTCTTTATTTGACAGAGACACAGTGAGAAAAGGAACACAAGCAGGGGGAGTGGGAGAGGGAGAAGCAGGCTTCCCTCCGAGCAGGGAGCCTGATGCAGGGCTCAATCCCAGGACCCTGGGATCATGACCTGAGCCGAAGGCAGGCGCTTAACGACTGAGCTACCCAGGCGCCCCTCACTTACGTTTTTTAAACAATGGCATAATATTCCCTTGAATAGATATAACTTAAAGATTTATATTGTTGTAAACTAGTAATTTTAAATTATGTAATTAATATATAAACAGGAAAGCAATTCGGAAGGATAGAAAATGAAAAGTAATTATGTTAACAACTTCTTATACCCCATTCTACTCCCCAAACACTCAAGTTCCTGGTTTTAATTCTTGAAGTCATTGCCATTAATAACTTGTAAATAATATACTTATTCATCTCTTTTTTGATTTAATAATTTTCGGCAATACCTAATAATTCACTGCTATGAAGGGTGAGGAAATTATATATTTTCCCTTTCCTCTTCTTTCCCATACACCTCCCAGTTTTTATTACTTGTATTACTTCTTAATACTGGCAAGGTTTATAACATCTACATTTTTTTCCTGTAACACTGGCTGGGCTTTGTCTGTAGGTTGATTTGAAGAATTGAAGGTCAGTAAACAGCATTTATATTATGATTATATGTGTTATCTGATGATCATGTAATAATATTAGAACCATAAAAAATGAAATATAATTTTCTGTCATTTAAATTTTGTTGCTCAAAGGATAGCCTTTCAAGTGTGAAGGTCAAATGGATTCTTTTGTTTAAGTGTCCATTGGTACTTCTGGATCAAATTTACTTGCCACTCTTTCTGGTGTCGTAGAATTCCTTTCCCCCCCCTCCCTGAAATGCTTCTATGAGTAATATTTTTAAATAAGTTGCATGGGTGACTAATTTGGTTATTTTTAAGTCCAAAATTGCCTTTATTTTGCTTCACACTTGATTAAGTATACATGGTAGGGTCATTTTGAGTTAATTTTTGTATATGGTGTGATATAAGGGTTCACCTTCATTCTTTTGCATCTGACTATCCAGTTGTTTCAGCCCCATTGTTATTCTCTTTGTTGTTATTATCAATGGAATTGTTTTCTTAATTTCCTTTTCAGATTTTTCTTTGCTATTGTATAGAAATACAACTAATTTTTAAGTGTTGATGTTGTATCCTTCAATTTTGCTGAGTTTGTATATCATTTAGGATTTTCTGTATAATATATAAGATCATATCGTCTGTAAAAAGAGATAGTTTATTCATTTCCTGTTTTTCTTATCTATTAACTTTTCATTGCATGCTTTCCATCTCTTTGTCCTTTTGCTTTTTGTACTGGGAGAATTTCTCAATTTTGAAGCTGTTTCAGTCTCCTATTCAGCTATTTTTTTTGTCAAGGATTCTATTTTTTTTTATTTTAATTATTTTTATTTTTTTCATTTTTTTTAGAGAGGGGAAGAGAGAAGGGCAGAGGGAGAGGGAGAGAGAGAATATTAAGCAGGCTCCACACCCAGCACAGAGCCCAATGCGGGTCTCAGTCTCACAACCCTGAGATCATGATCTGAGCTGAAATCAAGAGTTGGATGCTTAATCCACTGAGCCACCCAGGCACCCCAAGGATTATATTTTTAATTTTCAGTAACTGTAGTTCATTTTTCTTATGGTTGTATTATCTTCACATATCTTTCTGGAGATATTAAGTATTATTCTATGTTATTGATGCTATTTCCTTGGCTCTTCTTCTTCTTATTGAATTTAGTGTTTTCTTTCTTTTTAAAATTTTTTTTTTTAAAGATTTTATTTATTTATTTGAGAGAGAGA